GCTTTGTATGCTTACGACAGCAGTATATTTAGCTTTGCCAAGTACTATCATTGTTTTTCTAAATATTATGATTATCATACAGTTAAAAGAAAATAGAGAGATCGTTGGAAATATCAAGAAAACGAAGGATTTGGATCATTTTCGATTACTTAGTAAGAAAAAAATATTCTTATTTTTATTAAATGTTTTGCTAATAATTTCAAGTTGACAAGTTTAATAAATATTTCTTTTAATTATTTTATTCCAGTTTATTTTTCATTTTCAATTAAATTTTTTTTTCTTCGAGTAATTGAAGCAATGAAATTAAAGGCTTGACAATAATAATTTTCAGTTGGAATGATTGTGGTGTTTTACGTGACTGTGATTCCTGATAGAATAGTAACTCTATTCTACTATACGTCTCCAACATTTTGTTGTTCAATGTTCACTAGACAAGTCTATTTCTATCTCGCGAAAATTTCATCAATCATTGGCCCAGTCACTTGGGTAGTAACATCGAAATTGCTTCGAGAATGTATTCAGGTAATATTTCATCACTTTTTTTAAATGAATTATAGTTGTCTACTATTGATGATTAATAACCATCAAATTTTTTTATTCAGAAAACTCTTATGGTTCATTGGTGTCTATGATAATTTTTTTATTCTTGCTGAATAATACTATCATCACTTATCTGATAGAGACGAGAAAACACGAAGAATAAAGCAAAGAAATCTACTGGCCGCTCCCTTGTATTACGAATTCATTCAGCGTGCTTTTGGATGTCCAACGTTGGTTGCAGCAGACTTTGAATACATTCAGCAGAAAACGCTTCAGGTGCGATAAAAAGTCAGATGATATACACAAGTATATACCTACATACACTACAATCGACGTCCTCTCTTTTATACCATGGCATTGAAGATAGTAAATCAAAAAATACCACATCTTGTCGCGACTTCCGGAAAGGAAGATTAAAGAGAATTTTTATTCACGTAATGAAAACTTTAAATCAACACTCTTATTCTTCTGGAAAAATACTTGTATCATTATTTTTTTTTTTAAATAAAGATCCATTAAAAAAACTGATGAACCCATCATGAAAAGTAATTACTCAATTTGTTCCACAAATATTGCAGAAACCTGTCTCATGGAAAATAAAAAAAAAGTTATTTATTTTGTTAATAATATAAATACTAAGAACATTATTCATTTGTATAATAAATTAAATATTTATAAAAATATAAAATAATACAATCAATAATGATTAATTTCCTGAAAAATATAATTCTTCAATAATCACAACTATACATGCCTACTATCAAAAAAGGTAAATTGAAATTGTTTGCTTAGTGAATAAAACGATCAAGACTCCTTCAATACTATCACGTTCTCTTATATGATATTCATACGCCATGACTAAATTACTCGAATGGAACTTTGTCAAGCCATCTTTTGGATTGTCAATTGTGATTTAAAATTCAACAACCTCACTTCGGTCTTTGCTTAAAACCAAACATGCCTTCAAAAGTAAAGTCGATGAACTGATGGAGATTTTATTTTTTCCCAATCAATACATTTTTTCTTCGAAAGTCTGTATGAAGAACAACCCATGTTTTAAAAATAAAATATAAAAGAACCTTTTTAAGATAAATGGCATGATAGAGAAATTGAAACAAGAACTAATAAAAATAATGGAGATATAAGGAAAAAGGCAACATATTGCATCATGTCAAGCGAATTTTAAATGAAAACAGTGTTATCTCTACTAGATAAGCTATAGTTATAGTTAATGTTCTTTTACTTCCCGTGCGTACAAACACTCCGTCAAACACACCTTGAATATATTCAAGAAAATATTTGATCAAGTGCAGGAAGAAAGGCCAAGTTTCTTTGGTCGACCGTCATAGATATTTTCTATTATATATAAAATTGAATGTAATCTAGATAGCAGGTCATGTTGCATCACTTCTTGCTATACAAAACCGATTACCAATACCTTCTGCAGTATTTTGTAAGATAGATGATATTTTTTAAATTTTTTAAAGAGCCAAAGACACAAAGAAAACGCTATACTATTCAATGAATTGAAAACAAAAAATACTTTGTAAAAAGTTCTGTATACATCAGTAAATTGCAGTCCAAGCATAAATATTTTCTATATTGTCTATTTTAAAGTTTAAAATAACCGTGTTTTATTTTTCAGAAAAAATTCTAAAATAAACCAGCATCAAAACTAAACTACATAATTATACTAACATGATTAATTAGCCTAATAAAGGCTGACTAACATAAGCGTTCAAAATTCAACGAAAGAGTTGAAGTAAAAAATAACAGCAATTTTTTAATCTGGAATCAATCATGGAAATAAATGTTGTAATTGTGACTCATGTCAAAGAAAAGTTGTAATTTGATTCAAGCATAAGTGGAAGAGTAAATTTAAGATAAAATAAAACTGATATAGTACAGATATATATGTAGGTGCGATCTGCATTAAGACAAGAGCGTGGGTGGCCTCTGCTCCATCCGACCATCGACCAAGAAATAACTTTGTTTACACATCCGTAACATTGGATAAGATCCTGGTGTTTTACGCAGCAACTCTTGGATAATTTTTTTCAATCTACAGAAAAAAATATTCCGATAAAGTAAAAAACATCAGAATCGAATTTTTTTTATCAAAAACTACCAAGAGTGACTAGCCAGAAACATCTTTGAAAAAAATGTTTTGCAAACTTTTTTCATTAAAGTTTTGCAGCTTACATTGTATCAAAACTTTTTAATACAAACGTTTTAGGGCATTTTTATGGACGTAACAAGATTGAATAATAAATTATAGAGATAAGAAGGTATGAACCATAACGCTCATGGATAATATGAAAAGATAAATCAAGAAACATTTTGCAACTTCATAATGATCATTGACACCATAAAAATACTTGTTTTAATCACTTGATCATACATATTACCATTCGATTGATAATCTTAAATATTTACGTTTCAATTTTGAAATAATATCCTAATAGTATCCAGAGCTTCTTTAATACTATAATCGTAAGGATTATTCACTACTGTGAGTTTCGAATCCACGGATTTGTGTCACAGAGTGATGTCGAGTACGAGTTTACAATTACATTACGTCAGTTGGCTGAGTTACTTGATGGAGTAAACACCAAAGTTATGTGGTTTCTACAACTCATTGAATAGTAGTTCAGTTGAGTTGTTCAATAAAATTAAATCTATGCATTTACACTAGAAGCAAAATCAATTATCAGTTAATCGCTTTTAACGAAGGTGTTGATGCAAAAATACAATTCAAAGATTGGATGGCGTTCGATAAATTTCTAACACGAGTTATAAGCAGGATTTACAGATGACTTTGAATTATAATGATTAAAAAACAACTATGTACTTTGATTTCCAAGGACAGTTATCTAATAGGTGAAAGATGATTTCGCTGTAAAGAATTTATGGGAATTTTTTTCCTTTCGCTTTTACAATCGTAGTTTTATATCTGGCAATGTAAACTTCAACGGCCATAAAAATTAGTGGTTTTAGACATATATATATATATGTATATACAGTTGTCACAGAATAAAATAGTCATATTAGTTGAGAGTACCAAGACTTTCTACGAAGTTTTACAGAAAAAGATAATAAGTTAAGGGTATAAAAAAACTCATAGGTGACGAGAAATGAATGAATGGAAAATCGTTATGAGTCATTGTTCCAACTGAAACAATAGTATCGCGTGGGTCCAGGAGGACCTACACTTGCATTACGTGTATCCGATTCTTTTTCAAGAATTTAAGCGTGAAAAGAAAGAAATTCTTATTAAAATGGAACAATTATTCATCATTGAAATTATTTTTAATTCAATAATAAAACTCAAATTATTCCTATTTCATTAAAAAATTATAAATTTAATTATAAAATCAGATATGATATTTTGTTTTAAATATAATCCATTAATTAAAATTTAATTTCTTTGACATTTAAAGTGTAAATAATTTATATAAAAATTTTGTAGTAAAAAAATTTTAATAACAGGATGATAATCAGGTTTTAAATCTATTGATACTTAAAAGTCACCTCTTCAAGTTATTGAGGAAAAGAATTTAAAAGGTTTTTTAAAATGATTCGTATTAATACAAAAAAATTTTTAAATTAATCAAAACTCAAAAATCTAATATTATAATGTGTTGTCAATGAAAAAAAAAAGAAAGGGATTTTAATTGAATGAACTTTCATCTTTTTAATGCAATCTGCTTTAGTGATCAGTGTAAGACGGTATTATTCCACGATGATAGATCATATATAAGTAAATTACGACTATCGTTAATGGGCTTCTCTTGATACAATAATAAATGGATGCTGTGGCAGCAGCTTTAATTGACTATAAATTTAGTATCTACGCTAATAGAGTTGTTTAAGATTAATAATTTTATGATGGCACATATGATGGAAAAGTTCGAAAAAATTATGAATAAATTGGCAAAAAACATTTAATACTGTCACTTATTGAAGATATTGAAGTTATTAGGATATTTTATGACGAAGATGATTACACCTGATCGAACGTAAAGATTACAAGGTCTCAATCGTAGTGTGAAGTGAAGATAATCAATCAAATTTGCCACACTCAATTTTTCAAATACCTCAAGCGACTTCTGAACATGATAATTTATGAATAACAATAATTTAGTTCCAAAAAAAAGGAAAGCTTTTCCTATTTTCATTATAATTATATTCTTGTGTAATTTCCCACCAAAAAAAATTTAAATAAAAATGAGAATATTTTTTATACTCGCAATCTATTCCGTGAGTCAACCGTTAACTTTCTCAACCGGTTCAGTAAATCGTACAAACAAACGGAAGTTGTAAAGCCTAAGGCCAAACAGTGGCTCTAGCGACGATCTAACATGTTATCTATCCAGTTTATCACATCATCATCCAAATTAAAATAGTATCTAAGCATTAATTTAATTTATATTGCAATAAGTCATAGCAACAACACTTACCATATTTGGTTCATTAATAGTAATGTCACCGGCAGGAAATTCAAACTATCCAGTCTGTAGGGATCTTCGATACTTCCGGCTTTGATTCGTTTCCTTTTACGTTTTTCCTTCAGACTGACCCTTTTATAAATTCACACTAATCCTTCTTCTTTCATAAATGAAATTGTGGAGGCTTAAAATATGCACCTGCATGAATTCTGTATTCCAAACACACTTGCAGATCTTGTGTAAATTCACTGATGGCATCTGTCAGTCACATCTAAACATAACAAACACATTTGTAAAAATTTGGAGTAACTTAAACTCTTGCATGTCTTCATAAAATATTCTTGTTTATTATTTATTGAAATTTTTAAGTGTCAGGAAATTTTATTTCACAATAATTCACTTTGTAAAAAGTTTATTTGTTGTTGATAACAACAAATTTATTTAATAATAAATTAATTGCTCAAATATTTTTGTTGTGAAATACACAAGTGTCCATCATAATCACCAGTATTAAATGTCCATGAGATAACAAATAAATTTATTTATCACTAGATTTGACATTTCTAATTTATTTCTCAATGTTATTGAAAAATATTAGGAAGACGTGCAAGTCTCTCGAGGCACGCCAGTCGCGGCTCGGCAATCAGAGTACACTGCATAGTCCATACTCACCACGCGCCTCGAAACTCGAAAGCTGAGCCGCGCAAGATGGCTACCACTATAGACTCTTCCTATTGGTTAGCTCCAATGCAGCCAGGTGCTATCAACTTTGTTATCATATCTTAAAAATTCCCAAACATTAAGCAGATGATAAAAATTCAATTGATAATGAGCAATATCAACTTTGAATTACTATTAAACTTCATATTTATTTATAATAATGTCAGACGTAAACTTTCAATTCGACGAAGTAGTTACTTTTCTAAATAAGTTTGAAAGTAAATAACACATAAAAAATATTGATAGAAATTTAATTAGTCAAATAAATTCGTTTATTAAGTAAATTGTTATGTTACTGATTGATCAATAATTTCAACTCGACTTTTTGAACTTATTACTCCGGAATTATCTCAAATGCTGAACAATGATCGGTTGGAAAAACTTATTGAGAGAAAACATATTTAGCAATTAAATTATTGTCATTTTAATCGAGCAAATTGATTAGTTCAATATTCGATGCAATCAATATAATATATGTCGACAAAACTCTTTGATGTTTTTATAACAAATATGACATGATACTCTGCTATTATCTCTAAAGCTTTTAGTTTGAGAAATTGTAATAAAATATCTTTCATAAATATTTTCTATCTGTGTCATATAAATGAAATACATATTTCATTTTATGATTATCTATCATATTAATTATATTTTATTGTTTCTACTACTAAAATAAAGCTTAGAAAAATTGGTTAAAAAAAGTTAAATATACATGTATTTAAACTGAAAAGTATTTTAAAAAAATGAACTTGGAAAGCTGAAATTTTTTTCTAGAATAATGGAAATGTCTAAATAATAATTAACATACCTACGATCAATCATCTTGTTGATTCGACCCTGAAAGGAATGCAGATAACTGCAAATTTCCGGTAGGTCTTATAGTATTAAATGACTGATATAGAAATCTGCTAACGGGCGTGTCTAGCTGGGTTCATTCGTGATACAGATCCTCTTTGCAGCATCGAAGGGTTAATTAAATCTGTGAAAATAGCATTAAGAATATTACTTTTTATTTCAGTTGAATGCTTTTATTTTTACTAAATTTTTTACCTTCTGGTTGTTTTATTTAGCAATTACTTCTTTTCTCTTAGTTCGAAAATCATGATTCACCTTGGCCCTTGTCTCCGGGAGCCAAAAGTCAATCAATTCGATCAACTTACGACCGCCACATTCTCCAAGCCAATTTTCCATGAGGAAAATTATTTCACAAGTTACCCAGACATCAATTTCCGCATGGTCGTCTCGTAATTTTTGTCACGTTAATTTAATCAGAAGTAGTAATTTTATGCTTGATAAACGTAGTTTTGTGCTGTTTTCTTAAAAAAAAAAAGAAAACAAACATAAATGATAGCAGCTTCTAAATCCACATCAAGTGCTTACTAAAGTATCAAAACAATGTACACCAGTGTTTTTGCAAGACTGTTAACATAAATAAGCATACAATATTATAAGAAAAAGTAAGATAAACAGCATCATTCCTTAAATTGTAGTCAATAAATAGCCCATAATATATGTTCTTAGCAAAAGATAAGAAATCTTGGATTCGTAGAACAAATAACCTCATAAATGCGCATTAATTTTTGATTATCGAGGTTACCTAATTATTAATTCGCACACTTGTTCTTCTATACATATTTGAATACAATTGTATTTGTTTGTTCATAATAAAAATAATTTCACTTATTTTTTTCACATAGAATTAAATTACGTCTTATTTTTCATAAGACTACTATTTGTTTTATCAGGGTTAGAAAATTTTTAATTTATTAATGTAAATTTTTTCATTACATTAAATAATACGTAATTGAACTCACCAGGTTTGAAATTTTTGATCATCTTTAAAGCCTGATAATTATTATAAATTTTCTCAATCTAGTCTCCGAAAAACCTTCCAGTTCGCAACGCCATGAAATCCAGGACATTTTCTGAAGTGCTCATCTCCGAATGATTGCAAAGTCGATTTATTCTGATTACATGACGCCTCCGCAATAATTGAAGGTGGCACTGTGATATTATTTTGGCGCGTGCAACGCACATAACGCCGCGATCACGTGCTCGATCAATCGACTGTTACAATCGAATAAAACTTTCGGTAGACAATGGTGATGCGCGCGCACAGCATTTTCTAACGGCCATAAGTTTTTTTCTCGCCGACAAGAGAATTGAGACTGCCGGTTCCGCGAGACTCTAAATGGAGTTTTTTATGTTAATATGTCTCAATCAGGTATAATTATACTATAAAAATGATCCTCTCGATGTACATGATAGAATGAATAGAAAAAATATAATGAACAACATTAATTATTTGAAATTTTCAACAAATCAATCCATAGCGTCCTTTTCTACAGACGCCGTACATTCGTTGAATGCAACAATAGGCAATAAAAAATTATTTTCAATTAAATAAGATGTCTTTTGAATAGTAATAGCTATTCATACTTGTTGCAATGCAATAAAATTATGAAATGATTGTTTTTCATTTCGCAAAATATTCACTATGGATTATTCATTAATAAATTCATAACAAAATGACGCCATTTACTGAAAAAAATATTTCAATAAGCGATTGTGCTATGAAAACAATCACAATAAAAAATTTCGGCGTGATTGTTGTTTTTCATTTACGAACAATTGCATTCAACTAATTTATAATACTTTTTTATATTTACTGACATTTATTGGAGTTTCCTATAGAAAAGTATTCAAAAAATGTCCATTTTATTAATTATAAAGTAATTTATTTCCCTTTAGGGAGCATGTTGACAAGTAAGTGTTAATCATTCATAATTTAATGATAAATAATAGTCACGCAAACCATTAATCTCTATTATATTGTGCTTATTTATCAATCAATTTAATATTTTGATGCAGTTAAAAATTCACTTTTGGAGTAAAAAAAATTTTTTACACAATATTATCATACTCAGTTGTCCAACATTATCAGTATTTAAGAAAATTACATTTAACAATTTGCATAAATTCTTAAATATAATGATTGATTACAGGTTTTGTGGGTAAGTGATGTGTAAGTGCCAATTATATCAAGACTTGGAATATAGCAGGAGAATGAACAGCGGCAAAGTGTAGGAGTAAAATAGAACAAAGCATCCAACGGTGAGCTTGAAACAATTTAGTTACTTCTTTTCTTTAATTATACTTATTTATTGTCCTCTTTTATCTTTTGTAAAGTAGACCGAAATCATTTTTATAATACTTAAGTTCAATTTGAGGACATTATCAATTAAAAACTCAAAATCATAAGCGTTACTCCAATAATATGATACGAGTGTAAATACGTTGAAGTTATTATATAGCTCCACACACGCAACCGGAAATTCGCGTGAACAACACACAATAAACATGAAAGCCGACTTAGTAAACGCATACGTACATATTCGAAATTGTCATGTACTCTTTTACTGTTCCTATGAACAGGAAGCTCGTTGGTCCATCATTTATCAGTGCTCATAGACCGTTGAAATTGTCATGCAACAATAATTATTTAATAAATCATAGCTTCTAGTACATTTTTTCATATGTATCTCAAGTAGTTGATGATTTGTAATAAAAGTCGTATACTTCATGAAAGTGGAATGCATTCATGCGTTAAGAACATAAAAAGTAGTTGTACTATTTTTTTTAAGAAATATGACTAATATGTGAATAATTTATTGAAATGATCTATCTGGTTTCTAAAAAAAAACAATTAACTAGATCAATTTTAATTAATTATGAAATATATTTCATCCTGTGATTTAATGTTTAGATACATTGACCGCATTTGAAGCACAACAACGAACAACAATGCTGTAAAGCACAAAGGAATAATGAAAAGTAATCATTGAAAATTTATATACAAGCCGAACATTTATTAGCTCACCAAGAAATCTAATTATCTTCTGTTAAAAGACTGGGTGATTAATTTTTGATGATCATCAGCTACACCATCTAGAAAGCATCTTTTTTTATGATGTTTTTTATTATTTTTTTTTTTGTTTTTTCAAATTAATAGCTCAAGTAATTTTACATAACAATTTATTGCAAATTAAAAGATATATTCTCCATAAAGATTTAATGAAAGACATAAAATTTGAAATAAAATGAAAATCATAAAAATCCAACGAGTGATGGAGCGAAATACTGAAGAGCTGATGCTGTTACCCAGCATCTAATAGAATTTAGGCAGTATATTTAATGGAATAATTGATAATTTATAATTCGTAGTAGATATTTACACTACATTTTGAATCAGCTTTATACTTATTACCATAACCGGTTACCATTCATCTCGATCAATCGATTACACTCAGTTATTCAGTTATCCAGGCCGAGTATTCAATACTGTTGATGTAGGCATGTGCAATAGACGGGAAATACCACAAAAGCACAACACCACAACGTAAAATTACATTACAGCAGTCCTCTGACTATGTGAGAGTTAATAATGATGTCGCAAATCATATATACATTCGTCATCATATAAACTAATTCTTGTAATTCATTACATGTTAATTGAAGAGTTAAACAAATGAATACTTGCTTGTTTCTCAGGCTTAATATAATATTATATTAATGCATTTGTCTGTTTATCGAAAGTATATTATGCCAGTCGTTTAATGTCAAATGTCAAGCACAACGTGAGTAGTGTCAGATCAAACAAAAGGGTCTTGGTTACAGTGGCAACTGTGCAACCGACACTCGAGGCCAACTAGGTTTGTAGGGTCACATTCTCATTTTCTTTGTAAGTGATAGGTCTAAAGAATGCCAAATAAGTCTATATGGTCTGTGAATGTAACATGCGACTCCAATTTTCTGCAATTTACTTGAGGTTCTGCGGCTTTACCATGCAAAACATTTCTTGGCAAAAGATTGACAATAGGTTTACAAAAAGTTAACATAATTATGATACTATCAAAAAAAACAACAATCAGAAAAATGAACATCACGTTTGTCTCACGCTACTATAAGTGGATTGTGCTCATAAATTATTCATGAATTCAATAGATATATTAACTATATGAATATTAAATAATTAATTTCCTCTGATAATAGCGATGAAATTTATTTGATATTAAAAAAATTTGCAAATTCATATTCAATATTTATGTCAATAAAAGCTGATCATTACACAATTCAACTAAAATTGAATATATGTATATTATTTATAAATCTAGAGAATTTTTGAGAAATGATAACATCAATATTACATTTAAATCTGAGCACAGCAACTGTTTATTACATTCGAGACTTATAATAATATTTTAAGTCTCAGATTAGTTGGGAGGCGTGACACCAGAACAAGTTTTTAGGCCCAGTAGATGTCATAAATGAAATCATGGTTGTTTTTATCCAGTAAAATTAAAATCTGACAGATGACTTGCATTTTAAGCAGACATAAGGATCCGAATCTTAATTCATTGTGTAGAAATTACTTTTACTCTTGAACAAATTCGTTAACACATGCTGTACTGAAGGTAGCCAGAACAAATAGACTAGCGGGAAATGATTAGAAAAGTTATTTAAAAAGTGATTAAAAGAAAAAAATAATGAATGGTTAAAATATACTGTAGGTCAATGCTATTGAAGAAATATAATAATTTGAAATTTAGACAAAAAAATTATACATTTATCAACTTCAATATATTTATTAAAAATTTTTTTAAACAAATAAATTATCTTTTTATGAACAGTTCTTTCTCTCTATATATCATAAATTTTTCTAATCTTCGACCATTTTTTCGAGCAGTGAAAGGAGTATTTGACAGCGTTCTTTGACCTAAAATAAAATTTATACAGTTACTCTAATGCTTTATGATGGACATTTAAAATATAAGAAAAGAATGTATTCGATAAAGATCACTAGTGAATTTCAATTTTAAATTCAACTGTCATTGATTAGTTATCGCTTTATCCGACTTTAGTAGCTCATTTGATAAGTAACGATTGTTAAGTACTACAAGAATATGATGAGTATATCTTACATGTTTATCAACAGAAAATATCTGTTGAAATCAACTTTTCATTTCAATTTACATAAAGTTTGATTTAATTATAATAAAACAAACAATTTATAATAATCAATCGAGTGATCGTTATTGAATTCTTTTTCTCTTAGAATTGAGTAATCAATAAAGCTTGAAAAATCTTACCTGTTGCACTGTACGATTGCCAAGCGTTTCACTAACTTTAACGAAAGTACGTTCTGAATAATCTTCCTGAATATTTTGAAGCAATAATGCATCTTCTTGCCTTGTCCAGGGTTTATTATTAACTACAACTTCTGACTTTATTGAAGTTTCTGCAGTAGATTTAAAATTTATATCATCGACTTCAATACCAATACAACCTTCAACATTACCATTATCAATTGGGTTATTAAATTCTTCAGTATTATCACTATTCTTGAATGTGCATTCTTCTTGATCATTTGAGATCATAGCTGTTTCACTAAATTTATTATTCAAATCTACTGTAGATTTAGATTCGGTTTTTGCTTCTCTTCTTTCAGCTCGTTTTTCACGTTTACTTTTCAAAGGTGACGTAACTTCAGTATGAGAATGCACAGAAGATATAGAGTTGCTGTTAATTTCTGACGATTTCGAGTACCTTCTTTGATCCATGACTTTAGGAGGAGACTTCACTCCTCTTTTAGTTTTTAATGTACCCCTGTCACCATCATCATTATCTTTAACTGGAGAACTCTTTAGTGGACATTGTTTTTGTGCAACTTCTTCTGTATTCAAGTCATTTTTTGAAGATTTTCGTCTTCTACCTGTTGGAGGAGCTGGTACAAATTTTTCAGTTGTTTTCAGAGAAACTCTGGCGATATTTTCGAATTTCTCGTCATCATCACCTGGAAACGTGACTTTAGCTGGTCTTAAACCTTCAGATGTTTGAAGATACACCCGTCCATTTAAAAATCTCACTCCACAAGAAATGCAGTGCTCACTGACAGTTTTTGATTGAGAATCATTTGTCTCGTGACAGTCACATTTACAATTATCACCTCCATAAGGGTCATCTTGAGTTGTTGGCGTAGGTAGTTCAATGTTTTCGTATAATTCAGGAGCATCTTCAGAAAATGTTCGATGTTTGTCATGAGGAAGTACAGGACATGTTAAATTTTCGAATAAACTTGCGGCAAATAAACTTTCGGGTGGCTTTCCACTTGGAATTATTTGTTGGAACATATCCATAATCAATGGATGTCCTTTCAAAACTGGATCCATTGTTGCATGAACTGTTTCCAAAGTTACATTTGGTTCTGTAGCTAGTTGAGTGATTGCTTGCATTACTCGTGCCATTCTTGAAGGTTGTTTGGCAAAATAAACCTGAGCAGCATTAATAAAGTCAAGCATTTTTTGAAGCATTGTATGTTCCACTAATTTATCAATCATTGCAGCTTGGTGAGGCTTGAGAAAAAGTAAAAAATCAGTGTACATTTCTGGATGATCTTTAAGTACTTCACAAACATCTTTGTAGAGGTTTATTGCTAATCGGTCATGAGCTTCTCGAACTATCGACATCTTTTCGTTTTGATTATTAGTCTTGTTATCACTTTCAGTCTCACTCTTCTCAAGCTTCTCGCTATACTCTAAATATAATTTAATAACTGATCGTAACAATTCCGGATTACTTGATTCTAAAGTCATGTGTAGCTTCTGCATAAAAGAGGCTGCAAATTCTGCAATGAAAAAAATTATTAAATAAATTTTTATTTTTATTAACACTACATATTACAAAGTTAATAAATGAGTTTATTCTTTTTTTTTTATGAAAGGAACTTTTATGAGTATCTTTATTGCTTGAGCGTTTCTATTAAAGATTTTATTAAATAATTTCCTTTTTTTTTCATTTATTTCATATAAAAAAGTTCGAAACGTAATTGCAATTTTTAATATAATAATAAAAAGTAAGAATATAAAGATTCAATATTTACTTGTTGCTCGTTCTTCTTGTCCTAATTCTTTTTCAGCTTCCAGCATTCTTTTTATATTTTCCGATTCTCTAACTTGTTTGGCCTTTTTCCTGTTTACAGTATCTTTTTTTATTGTTGTGCTGGCCAACATTAACTCAGCAATTTCATCTTCATTATCCTATTGTACAAAAAAATTTATGTTGATTATCACTATTCAATAAATAAACAACTGATCAGTGAATAAATTACATACCCCTTTGGTAGATCCAGCAGGTTCTTCAGGAGTTGAAAGTGATTCATTTTTTGTATTCGATTTAAATAATGCTTCAGTAGTTTGTGAATTTTTAGATCCAGATATTTGACTCTTTAATTTCATATTTTGTACACTTCTAGTTTTTGCCAAGCGTGGTGTAGTCTTTCTCATTTGCTGTGATGTTTCATCAGAGGTACTTTCTTTATTTTCTACATTCTCAGTTATTGCACTTAACCTTCCACTTTTCTTCCCCGTCTCACGCAAGCTCATACTGGGCATCATATTAACGGTGTGTGTTAGTAAATCTTCATCTACTAGAAAATCTGTTTTTGAATTAGATAGATCAGAAACTAAAGACTCCAATGAATCATATTTTTTATTTTTTTCCTGAAAATAAAATTCCACATAAGATTAATTATTAAATCAATTCAACTACATATTTAGATAAGTAAAAAACCTACTTTTTCAATGTGCTTTTGATAAACCATTGGTAATGACGAAATAGGATGATCCTTAGGGGCTTTCATTTCATAATCATCAGCTATACAATGAATTCTTGAAGATACTTGTCGCGTTTCAAAAAACTTCTATAAACAAATCAGTACGATAAATTTTGTACATGTTAGTAAACATTTTTTGAAGACATACCTTTATAGGATTATCTGTTTTCAATCGACAACAAGCTGTTATATATGACCTAAGAGCTTCAGGTGATCTGTTAGGCATTAAATATTGGTGAATTAATCCAGTGGCTCGTTGTAAAACCAATGTCATTCCTTTAAATTTGGTGTGTTGTGCTTCAACAAATGGAATAAATTCAGAAAGACCAAGCAACAGCAATCTATAATTTTTAATTATTAAAATGATGAAGAATATATTTTTGAAATATCTAGATTTTGTTTTATAAATATTACCGTTTCTCTGATGGTAAATATGGAGTTCTCTTAGTGTTTACGATTTCGGTTCTAAACGTAGTAATTGGTAACAATTCCGGGTACATTAGTGCTTCACTTTCCAAAAATAATTTGCGTATTGATGGATCTAGTTCCCCATAATATTTTAATCGATTTTTGAACATTTTTTCGCCTAATTTTATTTCTTGTTGTAAATTATCTAAAAAGCGTGCATGAAACTTTTCATCTTCGAATTTAGCTTCCCAATTGCTAATTAATGTCAGAGCTGCATCAAGATTCTTTACATTGAAAGCTGAATGTTCACCATCTTGAAGAATTCTATTATTAAACATATAATTATTAATTAATGAAATATTAGTATTTAACATTTTAGGTGAATAATTTTGAATGATCTATAGGTATTTCATACCTTATACTTTCTAAATTTTCTTTGCATATAATTGATTGAGAATGAAATTCTGGATGCATATAGCTCATAACATAATGTTGGGTCATTAATTGGACGTGTTGTTCAAATTGAACAGCTAAAAGTGAACGTAACTTTGAATCTACGAGCTCTGGTAGTTCTGGTTCTGCTAAAGCTGGTATAAGATCTATCATAGAATTATTCTGAAACGAAGAGTTTATCAATTATTTTGTTATGAATTTTCTTTAATCACTAAATATTCTTTTCAATTCACTTACTACTGGATTGCTTGTTGTAGAATTCATACTATTATCTGCTGATTTTTTTTTCTTCGGCTGTTCAATCTGTCCTTTAGAAAACATATCTTCAAATTCAAATAGCTCTGCGACTAAGTCGTTCAATTCTTTTCGTGTCACTTTAACTCCATTATCTACTCGAAGCTCTTCTTTGTCCACTAAAATTATTAACAATGGTATTTATGATATGCCAACAAATTTAGAAATCATAATACTGATTTAATATCTCTACTAACATAATTCTGATTCGCGGTCTTCTAATATATTATATTCCGGATCAGCTTCTGGATCGTCATCAACATTTGGCTCATGAGGAAGAGGTTTTGTAAATTCTTTTAAAAATTTATCCCATTCCTCATCAATATCGCCATCCCAATCATACATATCAGTTGTGATGTCTGGAGGTATAAAAGATTGTTCTATTTGTTCTATAGAAGTTTCATTTAGACTTAGTTTTGAACGTGTTCTGTGTCCAATGCTTTCTTCTTCAGTAGGCACATGAGGAACACTATAAAAAAGAATTAATATCAATTCTTTGACTTAAAAATATTCACTTAATATCTGTAAATAGAGGCTTAGTAAATTTTATGAAACTTTTATAACTTACTTCGGAATTTTAAATACTCCTTCAACATCATAATTAATATCAGCAGCAGTTAAAGTTTGCTGTTCTACTGGACCAGTCCCAGAAGCCACTACTGGCGTTGGTGGTTGAGAATCTAAATCACTTGTCAAATTACCATCGCCTTCATCTTCACTTTGAGGATCTGGTTCTTCAGGTTTATACTCTTCATCTGAAGAGTCTTCACTTAATTCATCTGCGATTAAAGCTTGGACTTCTGAAGATGGTAACTTTTTTACTGGAGTCATAGGCCAAGGAATGTTCGGTTGAGTTTTTGCTAGTTCCCTGATTAATAAAATTATTATTAAATAATAATGACAAAATAAGCAAATACTTATTTTACTAATTAGCTATCTTCTCTACATACTTTGCTTTTGCTCTGGTCAACTTAGGCTCAAAAACAACATTGTCTTCAGTATTATGAAGTCTATTTTGAACCATGGCAAGAACATGTTCATTAGTAATAACGTGTTTAAGAATATTTTTAACATTTGTAGCTGTCAAGTTAGTTTTAGCTGCCTTAGCATCTAGCTGTCTTTCGAGTTCTTGTTCCATTTCATTTAGTACTGATATTTCATATTCTTCTGCTCTTCTTCGTTTTTTGGGCTGTTCAATATCATCCATCTCAGCTACATCTATTCGGAGATCAGCATTTTCTGAATCCGTAGAATTATCACTGTCAACTTCATTTTCATCAAAGTTGAAGGAGAATAATAGATTATATTTCTTTGGCGAATTTTCTGTACTAGACATTGAATTTGATGAAGATGCCTGTGCAGCTTTATATGAATTGAACGAAATCATTTTTATTAACTTATTTATAATTTATTCTGACAGAAAGTTTTGTTACATCTCATCCCACAATGTTACAGTTTTTTGGCGGGATTTCCTTATTTGGATACAATTCACACTGTCGAGGTTAGACTTTGGATTTTTGAATGTAATCCATGCAAACACTTCTTCACTGATAAAAACTAATCAATTGTCTGATTAATCACAAATGTCTCAATTTACTCATGTGTAAGATCTTTTTTTCAATTCATAAAAATATTTACAAACTATCAAAATATTTTTTTTGTTGTTATCCAATAACTTGCAAACAATAAATGAACTTACTAGAAACAATTGTTAGTGTGGTAAAAAGCCAGTTGGTGTCGCTCCATGTAATGCCGATCAGCTGATTTATACACACTGTAGAATGGCCTGTGATTGGCTATCCAAAAGCCAATAAGAGATTAAGAAAATTCAAATGATGAATTTTTAAAAGACGAAAAGGTCAGACTAAATAGAAGTGAATAATAATGATTTCAAAATAATTTCTTTTTATGATTACAAATGATATGCATTTTATCTTATCAAAAAATTCTAACATTAGTTCAGATAAATTCGAAATGAAAACATTTTTTTATTTTTAAATAAAAATAGAATTAAAATAAAGAATAGAAAAAAAAATAGATAATTTTCAAGGAAACATTTTATTTTATTACATTAAATGAATATATTTTTACAATATACTAAATTTTACTCTAACATTTTTTGTAGGAAGATAAGAAACTTTGATTATTTCTTCAAATATTTTTTGTACACGTGCATTTTCACCATCGGTTCTAATCACATCTCCAAAAAGTCTAAATGAATAAGGAATAGTTCTTAATACGGTATTTACTACACCAACAAGAACGTAGTCAAGATTGGGAGGTAAAATTGAGTTACAAACTAAAGGACTTCCGATATATTTCTGTTGATCAAACATATTATTTAGAATAAATATAGAAATTATTCTATGTTGGTAAATTTTTACTTACCTCTACTTCAAATGATTTGATTTCAGAGTCATATATTTCAGTTCCTTCAAAGCTTTGCAAAGGTATCATTGGCTCAATACTTGTTCGGTTATTCATTGTTACACAAAGTAGAGAAAAAAATCTGGCTGGAAATAATTTTTTTCATTAATTATAACTCACTCGAGTATATTCGAATCATCAAAGTTTATTCTTACCAAAACGTGCATCAGAATTCCTATTTTTTACAGTTTTCAAAGATACTATTGCACAATTTCCAGAATAAATATCATTTTCAGATTTAGTTAATTGAATAATGTTTACATCTTCTGTCAGTTGGAATGAATTTATAAGAATTAGGATAGCTAAATTTTTTTTGTAGTCATTTTGATGCTCCTCAATAATATTATATTCACTAACTTGTCGAACCTTTGAACAATTGTAATTAGTTTCAAAAGCTTCCTCTCCTAGGAAAAAACAATCTGCATGAACTCTGATACTTTCAATATTTTTTGGCCTACAACAAAATTTATTGATTGAAAAATATTCTTAACATTCAAAATTTAAAAAAACATTTTCAACGATTCAATACTTACTCAGGTTCTAAAATTGCTCGTGTCAGAACTGCTTTTTTGTGGATGAGAGTGCCATAACCAACCACTAAAACAATTTGAAACATATTCAATACAATATGATTGTTAATAACTTCATATGTATGATTTCAAATAATGGAAAGTTCGTCCCAGACCCATTTTTTAATTTTATACTTACAAGATGATTCATTCGTAATTGCAACCATCCAAGGAAATTTGGTAATTGTGCTTTTATTGAGATCGAAAAATACAGTTGGAATTAAGCATGTACATATATTTAAACATATTAATAAATTTATAAATATTGAAATCATCACTATAAACAATAACTATCGAATTATTTTTGGAAAAACTTCTTGTAGACTAGGAATCCTAAAGTTCTACTGAACCATAAAATTTATAACATACAACTATCATAATAAACAGAATTGATAACTAGGCTTTAGTAACGTTTTTTATGAACTCCATTTATCTTCAAATTTAACGATAAGTATTTATATTGTCAGTAGTATTTTTTTGAAAGTTATTTCCTTCTTTTTTAATTTTTTTAAAATTGTCATTATAATTACTAATATAATGTAAACAATTTCTGAAGAAATTTAAAAAGAAACAATCCATTAATTCTTCGATTTTTCCACTTAATTCTCAAGATTAAATAATTAAAATATGTTTGTTCAATTTTATTTTTATACAACTTCATATTAAAAAACTGTAAAATTATAAAATTATGGGAAACATGGAGTTGCATAATTATAAAGTAGACTGTAGAAGAAACCAAGAGATTGATTTACTGTTTTAGTCTTTCTCATAGTACCGCTTATGATCTTTGTTATAATTTTTCTTCATATAAGACGAAAATTTTTTTTAAAAATAATGATGACTCATTAATTTTACTTTCAAATTGTTCATAAAAACTTATCTATTTTTATCAATAAGATAAGAATAGTTGTGATTTTTTATTAACTAATCCGTTAACCCACTGACTCACGCAATTATAACTAATTATCAATTAACCACTTTTCCATTCACTTATGACATATTATTCATAACTGAAGTGCAGATTAAAATTACTATATCTCATTATTCATTATCATAAATTCCCGAGAAATTAATGAGCTATTCTGTTCTTAATTCATTGAATAACAATCATCAATAGTTAATACAGAATGTCATAAATATTTTTTATAGATTTAGAACTGAAAAAAAGTCGATTAATTTTACTTGAATGACATGGCATTTCACAATTATTGCCATTTACAGAAGTTGATCAAAATTTTTTCCACTCTTTTTATAGTTTATAGTAAATCATCTGCCTATCCATAATTACTAATACAATACAACTTATAAATCTACGTATCGTTATATTTCTTACGTCACACGTATTCGAAGAATAACCATAGCTTTTATTTACTTTGAACAATCAACTCTGTTTAGGAAGTATTTTTTAATTCCAAGTATACATATTTGATATTATAATATAAAAAACTTTATTCCTTCTATTATATATGCACTTTTTTATTATCTGAAAAGTCATGTTCTTTACCCAGAAAATTTATATAAATTATTATACAAACAATGATAGGTATTGTTTGCATTCTAAGATAAGTTAATTTCAATTATAGACACCTTATTTTTTATTAATATTTAAACTAAAAGCGGAAATTTAATTAACCTGTAATGTATGAGTGATTATTTTAGGATTTGAGTATTGTAGCTGTTCAATTGAACGATTAATCCAAAATATGAATAGTCATAATTAATTTTAAAAATGTGTTCAGAATGGCTGTTAAAAATTTTAAAAAGCATTTATCAAAAATTTATGACATACCTTTAGACTGACTCAAATGAGATTAGGTAATATTCAATAATTAGTTAATCAACATAAATCTATCATGTTCTTCCGGAATCATCAATAATTTGAAAACATTTATGATTTCCTCAACATATCAATTTATCATATATCAGTCAGCCTTTTAAATATAAACAAAGAAATTTTCTATAAACTTAATAGTTCTTTCAATTTTATGGTGCTAATTAATTCATAGCATTTGTATTTAAAACATTTAAATTAACTCAATCCTCTCAATCCGAAATACATCGTCAAAATGAAAATTTCAACGTTGATCGTGGTATTTTTACTAGTTGAAACTAGTCTAATAATCAATAGTGATGCATATATATTACGGATACCAACTTTTAGCCATTTAGTTTTCATTCGAAATGGCAAATGTGTGGTTGTAAAAAAACCTTACTCTTGTAAAAGTGTCTCTCAAGATTTGAAAAGTAAGTAGGAAATTTTTTCTAATTTATGTATTCAATTCATAAATGTCAATTGATCGCTCATAAATGTTGATCAACAACCCGAATTAAAGATCCACCATTACTATCATCCAATTTTTTTTTCGATAAAAAATTAACTATGTATTTTTTTTATAGAATGCTGTTATAACGAATTTTGAGACAAATCACTAAGATGATCGTTCAGACTGATTGCAGAAATCCATCCCTAAAACGCAAATTTGATAGAAACTTAAAGACTACTATTTAATTTAAAAACATGTAAATAATTTATTCGCAATTATAAGATGTAGAAAAAATATCTTTTATTAATTAAATAGTTCGTAAAATATACTCATTGTTGTAATCAAATATTAAAAATTTGTTACATTTATGATTGATTAAATTTGATTATTGTTATAATAATAATTTAATATCATACGTTTGTATTAGTTTCTATTGAATTCCTTGACCTTTTTCATAGGAATATTTTACAGAAGTACTGACTGAAGTACAGTTCGTCAAATTTATAATAACTTGATACAAATAAGGTACAACATATTATGGCATTATTTGCAACAATATACAATTTGATTGAATGACTTATAAGCTAATTACATCACAATATTACATTTAATGGAATAACATAAACCTTGATTTTTACTGATATTAATGGTAACTATCACTGCTTAAGAATCATTGTATTTTACAATTAAGTGAATATTGTTAATCAATGGTATGACTTGAATAATAAATTATACTTAATCTGATAAATCACAGAATTAATATTGTTACATTCAGGTTCCTATTTAGTTTCAAACTATAGTACTTTATGGTAGTTTCTGTTGAACTGTGTCTTCAATTTTTGCATGACCATGTTATAAAAATATCCTGATGGATCTCCATGTAGTATCAAACTACAGAGAACCCTAACACTTCTTCTAGAGAATAATCAAATATCCTTAAATCTAATCGATACATTTCCGCCAATTTCCTTAACTGCTTGACAGACAATGTTGAGTAGTAATGTTCTAACTTAGCTGTTGTTGGTTCATTTGTCGATGATCTCATAGGAAATCTATTAAATTAAATTACAAACAATTTATTACTTAGTTCTTTTTTATCAGTGATTCATAATCCAATTAAAACGAATTATACACTCAGGATTATCAATGTAATTTTAGAGCTTTGTCATCTTTTTAAAAATTGAAAAAAAAATGGATAAACTTGTGAATCATTAGAATGAAAATATTACCAGTTTCAAAGTAAGTTTTTTAATTAAATTCTTTTTATCATGTATAAAAATGCCAAATTACTCTGTATGAAATTCAAGACTTATGAAATAAGTTATAATTATTTCCGTATTTTTTCAATAATGCAGGAAAAAATTATGATTTGAAATTTGCTCAATCTTTCTTTAACTTTCGTAACGGAAGTGTTATGTGAATGCAATGTGTTACATACTAGAATGAAATAATTGAGTAAATAAATTCCAATCACGAATGAACTATCAGTTCTGCAAGTTTATCTACCATAAAAAAATTCAAATATATAATTTAAAGTTATTCTGTTCAATGTAAATATCAATATCGAATGCCATTTTGTTCATTCAATATAAATGATCCCTAAATCACCATCATTAAACAATTTTTTATACAAAATGTTGCAAAAAATTTAAGAAGTTAAACTGATCAATTAAAATAATTTCTGTGCAACTTTGCAAGATTTGTGTGATTAATGCTCAGATATCTAGGAAAATATTTCGACATGTAATTAACACTCGATTTGGTTAAATGTCATGTCTTTCATACTTACATGATTGATCCAGCACCAATTCTTTCTAATATTTCAGCTGCATCTTCAGCTAACGTTTCGTATTTACTTATAAAATTATAATTGACTTTGCAAGGAAGACACAGCTCATGAATAGGCTTCCAATGTTCATTGCTTGTACCTGTTGCATTCTTATCAGTGATAAAATCTACAAATTCACTGAACGTAACGTCATCGCCTTTACTTAGAGATTCTTGCGTGGCATTTTGCCTGTAATTCTGTTTAATAAACAAAAATGTTAATCTCGAATAATAATCTTAAATATTTTTCCAATTATAACAAATTATTTACCTGGACTATTTTTTTTCCAAAGCGACTCTGAAAATATTTCGAACCTTTCTCGTTTTTACTTTCAAGCTTATTTCTGTACGCTGAGAGTAATCTTTCTAATGGGTGCCTAACTACTATGAGTGTGTCATAGCTAGCTAATTTACGTTCAATCTCCAACATTGTAAAATTACTCAGTCTTTGAAAAGTACCAGCTGCATGTGTTATGTCTCCGGGAATCTCGAGAGGATTGTCCCCTAACCACTTGCCACTCGCAATCATTAACACACGCTTCCAGTTGGTACAAGCTACCTATATTCATGATTAAAAATACATTTAATCAGTAATTGCTTTGTAAATAATTTCTAATTTATTCAGCTACATGCAATATTTATGTTTCTTTAAATAACAATAGTTTATAAAAAATTTTTTGAAAGATTTCTGTTATTACATTGTTCAACAGTTTAGTAATTTTTTAACAAAATTAAATTTTTATCAGTGGTTTTTTATGATTTAATCCAATTATGTGGATTACCTGAACTTGTGACTTTTATCGGTCAAATAAAAATAATTACTTCATTAAATTTTTTTTAAAGAATATCTCTACGAGTTATTGCTAGATAAATTGCTCTCGAATCATTTCATTATCCTATGAATTAAAGAAAACGAGTTTTTAAGAGTATCTACTTGAAACTTTGTATAAGCATATGATTATGACTCAATTTTACATTACTCAACTAATGACTTTCGAGCAAAAAAAAACTCTTGAAAAAATTTCTCATTTACATGTATTCATGAAAACATTATTTCTGATATATGTCTGAAAAAAATGAATCTTTCTTTAGAATTAAAAATAGTTTTTTTTTACAAAAATTACATTAAATCAATTAAAGAATAATTACAATCAATAATTGTTGCAACTTTGTAATAACAAAAAATTCAATTTACCTTTGGCACATAGCAATATAACAATCCTAGTTTATCATTGACAAGAATATTCTTGAAGTCTTTCGGCATTAAAACACGTTCTTCAAGCTGTTCTCTCGTCATTATTTCCTCACAATGAAATTGTAGTCTTTCTTGGCGTTCTACTAACGCTAATCTTGCAAGTGCATTCGAGCCAATCCAAGAATACGGTAAATTAGGTTGGAGAGATTCACTCGACGAGTCAAGGTCGTTTGTTTGGGAGCGAGCAAAGGTGAAAATAAGACAACCAACTAGTGTTGCCTTCATCACTTGATAGTCGATCATGATCTGAACCGTAACTCATCTGTCACGCTCATAGATTTGCACGACTCCTCGAGCTATAAAAAACGTCATTCGACCTAGAATAATATATTTTTTTATTAATCAGCGGTTGAATCTACTAAATGATAAACAAATAATGATAAAATAAGTGGATTAGGTGATTCATAAAATAGAGTATTCTTTTTAAATTGCAAAACACTTGGTAGATAGTAAACTTTATGATTTTATAACTTTTTATGAGACATTTATCAAGAAAATTTGGCTACTCATTTTAGTGGTACAATTTATTCGATTCACAAGTAGTTTTTTTGTTTTAATTATATCCATTCATTAGAAGTTTTTTTTCTTCTAATCAATAATTGATTTTATTACTTAATTGATTAATAAAAATTTATGGTTGACTAGAAAATTTATTCACTCATTGAAACCAGTGTCGTTAGCTATTGTTTACTCATTAGAAACCAACTATAAAAATTTTGTCTTTGATAAAGTTCATAATATTGAAAAATAATTAATTAATTATATGATTAAAGATTTGATAAAAAAATAGAAATACAAATGTTGATATCAATTTGGTTTTTTTAGTTTCTTTATATTGAATTTGTTTCTTGGTATCTCTTTATTCAAAGGATTAGAATGTAAACAGTTAATCCGATATCTTAAAAAATCTGTGTAATCACTTGCTGAGAATCTTTCAGCTCGAAAGAGCCGATATTAAATTTAAAATAGATTAGAATTAAAATAAAAAATTGAATATTAATTTTAAATATTTTAAAAAATTATGGAATATTATTGACTTTCATCAACTTTAATTGATCTTTTCACAATTAACTATTCTTATTGATTTTCTTTGTGATAATTAATTCTCCTGGTCCGTCAAATTATTTGTATAAACACAATTTTATCAATTAAAACAAGAAATTAGAAAAAAAAAAAACAAAGTTTCTTTCGTTTAAAAATTATTTAACATATTTTTTACAGAAAAGAAGGAAATTAAATAAAAAATTAATTTATATTCAAGCAATTTTAAATCATCCTCTTTAATGATACTAAAAAAAAATTCAGCACAAAAACTTTTATACAACAGATGATGTAAATCATAAAATTTGAAACTTTCTACTAATTATTTATGACATAAATTTTTTCCCTCACAGAAAAATAATTCTTTCCATAACTCTTAACTTGTTTTGCTTCTTCAAGATATTTTTAACTTACAACTCTTCACAAAGTAACCCTAATGCAATACTTTGTATCATTGTGTCTCTTTATTGCTTATCCACGTTAAACTATAAATTCAACAAGTTATGAATTTCGAAGTGGTCGGATGAGCAAAGAGACTATGTAACTGTTAGTTTAACCGCATTAGTAATTTGAAAAACCGCAAAAATTTTATCCTAGTTAATTGCTTATTGATTTAAAAAACTATCAAAGATAATTTAAGAAAAAAACACTTATTTACATGCTAAATAATCGTAGAGTAATTAAATAGTTAACGACACATAATTTAATGTAAAAATGTAAATAAGCTGCATTAGTATTCAGATGAATTCTACAAAAAACTTTCGCAAAAAGTCTATTGAAATAATCTTGTACCAAGGAATACACTTTGTACCAAAAAGGAAGACATTTAATTCTAATAAAACTAAAAGAAACTAAATACTAAAAACTGTGAGATAATTTCTTAATTAAATGTAGTGTGTATAATGCATGATAATTAATACATGTGACGTATTGTTGGTCAGATGTTAAGAATCCGGGTTCATTTGGTTTCTGATAAAGTAGTTGATGATATCACGAATTTTTTTAATTATAATAAAATTCACTTCAAACATTTTTAGCACATGCTTGTTGCAATCCAATCACTGCTGACACAAAACGATACGTTCACTACGAGACCTTGTAGAGCACGACCGCAGAACTGAACAAGTTTATGCCAGACGTTGATTTACAAAAAGAGGCGCAGTCGAGCATGAACGAAGGTCCCTCGCGAAATACACTCGATTGCCACGCGATCTACTGCTGGAATTCACGATTATCTATTAAAATTATGACCGGAATGCAAAGGATTAGATGATGCCTGAAACATCAACATCTAATCGTATGTTTATAACGATTCATACTCAAACACCAAATATCTAATTCACACATTTTCAAAGTATTGCACAGAGCCTGCGCATTTCTATATCTGTATCATCTACTCCCTCTCAACTTTTTCAGTTATCTCTTCCTTTTTATTCGTTTTAATAACATCTCGCATCTTCCGTCCTCGTGCAAACTTTATGTTTATCCGGATCAACGGTAATTCAAGAGAGATAGATATATTCATCTGAGGCGAAGAATTTTAATAAGAAAAAGGTAAAATACTTTTATTTTTGTTGCTCGTATTTATTTTCATGTTATTCGGTCAAAAAAATCTGCTTCTTCTTAGAGAGAATTTAGAATAGATTAACGGGTTTACTTGTTTTAGTAGCACTTCCTGTCTTCTCGTTTATTCACACTTGTTCTTTAGTAGGTTGATTTTACAATCATTCATCTACTTGTAAATTCTAGGGCATTGAATCGATACAATTTTTATTTTGATATAAAAAATGTAGTTTTAAAATTAATGAAAAATTTATTCTATGCAGTTTGAAACGATGAGTATGTATGAAACGTTAGCATCAGTGATGCACTTGTGCTGAAGATTATCTCAGAACGAAATGACCCCAAAAAGATAAAATAATATTTGTCATATTAATTTTATGGCATCTAAACTCTTGGATTTTATCATTTTCCTCTTACTTAACTTTTTTTTATTCTTCTCTTGACTTTTAACGCTTCAGATAACAGTTAAATAAGTTAGGAATAGTTTTTCTAAATCATTTTTCTTTTTACTCCAAAGTTTCTTTTATTTAAAAATAATCTTTGTTTTTCAAAGTTACAGATTCAATTGTCTAGTGTTAAAATAATTAAATTAATACATTGAAGTAATGTGATTGATCTCTCTTATTATTATTTATAACTAATAAATCGTTTTTGTGGTTTGAATCCAAAAAAAACAAAGTAAAAAACGTTGTTGATTTAATCTTCCTAGAACCTCAATCGGCTCCATCGCGTGACAGGATTTGCTTAACATCAGCGTTAATATATATCTTTTAAATAAAATTATATTTTCAGTAGAGTCATTCAGTTAAAGTTATATAATTTATTTTACAAAAAAAGTCTTATCCATGAGAAAAACTTTGAAGAAAAACATTAATTTCTTCACCATGAGAATAAGACATGTTTACATTTGATTGTACAGTACTGCATGGTAAAAATCGCTAACTTTCTTGTTTAGGAAAGTTATTATGTTATAACATAAATAGAAATTTTCTTCCTCAAAAACACAACCTTTCCGTAATAGCTCGGAATTTTATTTAATAAAATTTATTATCGAATTATTCAAAATTACCACCATTTGGTAATTTGACAAATTGATATGTCAAATCCAAATACAAACATGACACTTTTGCTTTTTGCACACTTTAATTATATTCCACGAAGACATTTGCAAACTTATACGTTCAGTTTAAAATAAAACTCTTCTTCGAGCATATCAAATCCTTCACTCAATATCAAACATGGTCTAAGTGCGATTTTGATCCATATTTATGTATAAAAAGTTACGAAACATAGTTATGTATAATTACTTCGAGCCGGTAGTTTTCCGGTCAAGGCTTTGAGAGGTTGAATATTATTTTTATTACATGTATAGTATCTATAAAATATAAAAATGGATTAAATAGCAATAACTGTGGAAAAGAGCAAACAAGTTATTAAAATTTATAACACCCAATTGCTGACGAAAGTCCCGGCATAAATAATCAGTAAATTATCGTGCTTATTATCCATGGATAATTAAAAACTTAATAAGACATTACACGACTAAAGTACCTCAGTATTGACAGCAAAACTGCATAAAATTCAATATAATATTGTTAATGTCTATTTGTTTGCGAAAATGCCTCTTCAGCATATTTATAATTCATTGCTGACAGTTATTTAACATTAAAACCACATGTCATAAATTCTACATAATTTATTTGATCCGTTGCTGATTAGTTTAAAAGCATGATTTAAAGTTCAATGTGAAAGAGATATGCAAATTAATGAAAAAAAGCTTTTCCAGTTTCCTTATGTGGAATCCCTTTTGTGAAAGTAACTTTTGAAAAGAGCAATATCAACAGTATGCCAAATCGCGCATGTTCAGTTGATCAACGAACAGGCAGCACACGACAGCAGAGAAAGTGTTTTGCCTTTGTGAGCTCTTTAACAGTCATCAGGAGCTGGTGAAACTGATTGGTAGTCCTCACTGGCTGATTGATGCTAATATTATCTAATAAATTTGTTATACCTTCGCCATTTATCTATTTGAGTACGAGTTTAGACTTTATTTATTTATTTAATAAAGTGTCGAGTGACATGATTTTATAACAACCTGGATTTTAGAATCAATGTTTCTCCTCTTCAAAGAAAATGTTTCTATCAATTGCACTATGGTTACTCGGAGTATTGTTGATTCTCTGGGCATTATTAGACCCTGTCATCAGAGTATCAAGAGCTTTATACGAAGTGATTATTCCAGTTATCAATCCAACACCAATTGATTTGAAGACAAAGTTTGGTGAATGGGCAGGTAAGCGTAACGAAAAAGTATTTACTCAATATCAAATCAAAGGTTTATAGCAATTTTTTATTTTCATTTATTTTCGAAAGTGTGTCGCTTTATAACAACTTATATTTTTTTCATCATGATTGCGATATTAAAAGTTCGATCAAATAATTTCAGTGGTGACTGGTTCAACCGATGGAATCGGCAAAGCTTACGCAAAGGAACTTGCTGGTCGTGGCATCAATTTAATTCTCATCAGCAGAACGCTTGATAGGCTTGAAGAAACTAAGAATGAAATATTGAAAATTAATTCGGATATTGATATCAAAATTATTCAAGCGGACTTTGCCAAAGGAAGAGGTGTTACGACTGATATTGAGCAAAAATTAAAAAACATTCCTGTAGGAATACTAGGTATTTGTATTGATGTCACTTTTAAACAGAAAGTTGGTCAGAAAGAGTTTTGATATTAAATCAAATATGAAATAATTATTTATTTTTAATTAAAGTATTGGAATAATATATGATTTAATATGTTAAAGAATTATTTAAATGCGCAATATAAATTCATGATAAAGCATACAATTGTGTATAAAAAACAGTTACCAATGACATTGAAAAATGTGCATAAAATTATTTAATCGTTAGCTTACCATTTTCCTACATCAATAGATTCAATCATGTGAAAAAAGACTACAATTAAAAATGACAGGTTTCCATTATTTATATACATTTATACAGAATTTAATATTTTAATAAATTCATTTAAGTGAAGTGCATTAAAAGTAATGAATTATTTAATAAGCAAAAAACTGGGAAATAAAATAAACATTTTTTCTAATTACAGTCAATAATGTGGGGAAGCAATACACATATCCAATGTATGTTGGAGAAGTTCCTGAAGATGAATTATGGGACATAATTAATATAAATATTGGAGCAGCTACACTGATGACAAAAATAGTTATTCCAGGAATGCAAAAACGACAAAAAGGAGCTATTGTCAATGTCTCCTCAGGTGCAGAATTACAACCATTACCTTTAATGACTGTTTATGCAGCTACGAAAATTTATTTGCGAAGTTTCTCTGAAGCTTTGAGAGCTGAATACAAAAAATTTGGAATCACAGTTCAACACTTAACACCATTATTTGTCAATACAAAAATGAATGCTTTTAGTAATCGACTTCAGGTAACTTGCATTACATTAGAAGTGAATATTTTAAAATAACTTATGCTTATCAATTTATGGCTTTATTTATTAATAGAAAGTTTTTTTTTTTGCTAAAACGAGAGTGATGAATGCTATTTTTTTTGATCGAAAATTTAGGTATCAACTATAGTTGTTCCCGATGCAACGACTTATGCAAGAAATGCTGTTGCAACACTTGGCAAAGTTGATAGTAGCGCCGGTTATTGGGCACATGGTATCCAAACATTTTTCACACTTATTCCACCAGTTTGGATAAGAACAAAAATTGGTGAGATAATGAATCAAACATTTAGAAAGGATTATTTCAAACAAAAAAGCATATAAACATGTAAATACACGTATAATTATAACTCATAATCCACAATCAACGAAATACCAGAGATGATAAATATCGATTTCATTAAAATTATTAAACTTTTTACAGCTGTACATTTATTACTTAATTTATCATTATTAAATGATGTAAATGAAAAAAGGAACATTCTTTTCTTTGCCTAATAATTGTAATAATATAATATACAAAGTATCCTTAACAATTATTATAAATTAGTGCCAATTTGCCTATTAAATAAGCATACATTTTTTTATGTAAACAATAATATAAAATATAACAATGGAGCCTATTGACAATATGACTTTAGAACAATTATTTCCTCACAGTTATTATAGTTGATGGTTAGCATTCATATTTACGGTGATTCATTTTTTGACTTAAGTCAAAAACGAAAATAAAACAGTTACAATAGTTTTTTTCGTTTATATGAATTCCTGGTAACACTATTGCACAGAGATAAATATTTTTGATAATTGAGTATTTGAATAGTTAATCAAAAATATTTCATGATAAAGTTTTCCTCTTTCAATTAACTATTCAAATAATAATTTAATAATATCAATTTTTCTCAGTGTAAATTTTTTACATCAATACATGTATAGACATTGACAAGAATTTCTTGTTAAAATTTTATACATTACTTATTTTTTTATACATAACTATATTTTTACATGGATCACCGAACACTTACAATCGGTGGACTTACTTCATTCGAAAAATACCACATCAACGTAAATCAATTTTTTTTAATAAACTTACGAGAAAAATAAAATCTCTTTTAGTTCCTTTGTTTATATCTGTGTAAGAAACCGATTTGTACTTTCTGGATTATAATTACGTTTTTTATATTAATGTACGTATAATAAACATTTCCATAAAACTTGCTTTTCAATAGCTTACGCTAAAAAAAATAACTCAAATAATTAACATGCTGATGTCTTACTCGAGATTTGAGTATGTTGGACAATAAAGATTGATATTTAAAATTATATCCCGTTCTTTTACTAATTATTGGCGAGGCTTTATAAAAAAGCGTGGTATCAATTCTTACATTATGCAAATATCTGTGTTGCGTTTATATAAATAACAAAATATAACCAATTAAATGCTCAATTAAATAAATTTTTCTTCCTCAATAATATAACAAATAATTTATCATAGCAAACTAATTTACAATTGTTGCTTCAATTACTCTACACTCGATCATGCTGTACATTAACACTAATTGAGAAGCATTTGTTCTCATTAGTCATTACTATCATTTTAATAAAGCTTATCACGGAGTATATTATAAATTCCATAATCACAATGAAACATTCATGATAAATTTAAATACTTAAATCTCATTACAAAGTCAATCACAAGCTCATTCAAATTGACGAAAACTATTTAATCATACAGAATAATTACTAATTATTACAATATCGTTATGTGACATGTCATAATGATTATAAATTTACTTTGTGCTATTTGCAAAAAAAAACTATCAATATTTTCTTTTACAACATAATAGACAATAAATGGAGAAAAAATTAGAATATAGCTTGTCCTTACTGTCATAAAAAATTGATAATCAGACGGAAGACATAAATGATTTATGGATTAGATTTCAGTTTCTTGAAGAGGTATCTTCGTTTAAACTGTGCGCTAAGATAAAACTTATAATTGAATTACTTTCCATAGTTTTCAATATATTTACGTCAATAACCTATGCGTATTTAGCGTTCAAGCAAGAAATTGAATAAATAAATAAGCTTCTGATATTCACTGGATCTCATGTACGTCCCTTCTTTCTTTGTTTTCAATTTAAAATAATTTTATTCGTTTGATATTATGACATTTATAATCGTTCCTCAAGTTTTTTACCCGTTAAAAAAGATTCGTGGTATCACGATGCATACATCCTGTTTATTTCATGCTGGTAGCGGTCCTGAACTGCTTTCCTCTTTACTTTAAACGCTGCTGTGACCAGACCCATATCCGGTGACCATTGTTCAGCACATAATTTAACTGCACCCGGAATTTCAAACCTTTGAAGTTTAGCTAAACAATAATTTTTTATTAAAATTTCATTTTAACTTTGAAATTGAAGTAGTATTCGATATAACTGAGGGACTCACATTTTTTCGCGTGCTCTACCAATTCTTGTAAAACTGCTTTCTCCACCTCAGGGTTTTCACAGAGCTCTTCCAAGCACTTATTCTGGATTCCAAGGTCGTCAGCAATCTCCTGAAGATGTTGTAAGTTTGGTACTACTAACGCAACAGTGTATGTTTTATGAGCATCTCCATATACACAAATATTTTCAATTAATCTACATGTTTTGAGCTCTGCTTCCACCTTTCCTAATGAAACATACTCTCCAAATTGAAGTTTTACCAAGTCTTTTTTACGATCTGTAAACAAAAATTTAATTTAATTTTGAGTGATTAGATTTTAACAGGATAAAGTTTATTTGAGATATTTAATGAAATTTTAATGAAGATAAATTAAATTATCTAAGTTTTAATAAATTACATTATTATTTGAGTAGATTTACTAGAGGATTATTAAATTTTAATTTTTAATTAAAAAGCTAATGAAACGTAAGTTATTTGATGGAATAAATTCCTACTTGTTTAAATGATTTAAACAAATTATTTTATAATTTATAAAATTGAAGTTATTACGTTCATTAATATAACAAATATTATTATGAGGGTTGTCATTGAAAAAAATAGTTACCAATAATTTTCATGCTACCATCTGGGTGCATTTCTCCAATATCTCCTGTCCTAAACCATTGTTTTCCATCTTTAAAGAAGAAATCTTCTTTAGTTTTTTCCGGAATTTTATAGTATCCTTGAGAAACATTATCTCCACCAACGATTATTTCTCCTCTGGGATAAGGCGTGTCAGTTACTCTGTAAGATCCTTCTTCCCAATTTTCCAGTCTCAGATCACATCCTATCACTGGTGCACCAACTCTACCAGTACTCCGATCGTAATCTAGTGTAAAAAAACAATTCAATGTAAAATTTACTGTTTATAAAACATCGAAGAATTCACTTTAGTAAATTGAATTTCGTACAATCCATTACTGTAGCAGATGAACATGTTTCTGTGAGTCCGTATCCTTGAGTAACGTTAACACAGAGGCATATTTTAACTTGGGTATGAGTCTCGGGAGTAAGAGGAGCACCGCCTGAGAAAATAAGTCGAATACGACCTCCAAGAACTTGTTTAGCAGAACCAAAAATCAATCGATCAAAAAGTGGAGTCTCGTAGCCTCGTTTTGTCCACTTGAGCTTATAGTCATAAGCAAATTTGAAGATTGCTTGACTCAGAGGTCCTTTCTTTTTAACTTTTTCATTGATGCCTTTAGAAATGCGATCGAGAATGAGCTAAAAAAATTAATCGATTATTAATGAAACATTTTAACGCAATGTAGTAAAAAAAAGAACATCAAGATAAGATTATCTTTTTAATTGGTATTGATTCTTTAACGCCTAGGGTAAGCCCAGTCGATTACATTTTTTTTACCTCATCGATATTTTTAGTTTAATTAGAAGTAGATTTAAAAGAAGAAAAGCTATTATCGAATTCTTGTCCTACTAAAGAACAATTAATAAAAGTATCTCAAATTGTTTCAAAACTTCTTCAAGATTTTCATCTTATCTATTGAATGATACTTATAAAATAAAAAAAAGTAACATGGTTAGGGGCGTTGTTCTATTTATTATCATATATCTAGTTAAATATCTACCAGCTCTAATGTCTTGAACATTTTTTTAGAATTGAGTACCCCAGTAAAAAATCTAATTTTAATAAACTTAATATATTGTTTTGAACTTACTGGAACAGCTGTCATACAAGTAGGTCGCAAAACAGAGGCATCACCTTTACAACCTCTCTGAATTTTACTACTTGAATCAATCATGGTTAAAGGTGAACTATATCCGATTGGGATACCTTCTAGAATGGCAACAGTCTCAGTAAGTAATTCAAACACATGAGCCAATGGTAAAAATCCTAATAAAACATCATCACTCTTCGTCTCAGTAGCAGTACAAAATGCTTTTAAACTAGCAAGAATATTCTTATGTGACAACATGACTCCTTTAGGAACTCCAGTAGATCCGGAAGTGTACATAATTATAGCTGTATCATCAGTCTTAGGAGATTCAAGTTCAACTTGTGACGAACTACCCGTCTGAATAACATCCGAAAATCGGATAAGTTTGACTCCTTCTTTGTACCCATTTATGTCAGTTGATACTAACTGATCTTCCATGTAAATAAGACATTTCACTTCAGGCGTTGACGACAATAGGTGCTTAAACTTTGGTAATAATTCATGACTCGTAATAACTGTATCAACTTCAGTTTCATTGATACCATGAGCAATAGCTTCATCTCCCAATGTTGCATAAATAGTAACTACAGAAAAATTTTTCTTAAAAGCTCCATGAGCTGCAATCATCCATTCTGCTCTTGTTTCAGCAAAAATAGCTATATTCTTTTTTTTTGTCAGCTCTCCTAAACCTCGTCCAAAAGAAGTAGCCAATTTTTCTACATCTTTGAAACTCTTCCACTTATAATCACCCATCTTGTACTAGAAATAACAAAATAAAAAACTATTAGTATTTTTATAAAAAAAAAAAAACTTTAATAAATAATTATATTTCATTCTAAATGAAGTCAATTGATTAATAATGACAGCCACAATTAATGAATATCAATTAATCTTTGTTAGTTTTCGATAAAAATACAAATGATAAATTGATATTAATCAAAATGTGTTTTTTACCTTTTTAAATATTCTTCCATTAGGTTGAAGTTCATTTTCTTCAGCAAGAATTTGTCTAGTACCCAGACATTTTTTGTCTCCATGAGTATCAGCTGCAAAACGTAGCACTTTCTCTAGTGTGTCAATTTTAAGTCGATCTAATGTCACATGCATTGGACCAGGTTCATCAACATTTCTATACACTATGGAGCGGTCATCTTTTGCAATAACCTTAGCTTTGACTCTTCTTGATAGTTTTCTTTTTTCCCATGGTCGTTGAAGAATAAGATATACAGGGAATGTCAATAAATCGTACACGTAAGAAAGGGCTTTTATTGCAGTGATCACTCCATTTATCCAGAATCCTTCCATTTCTCTGTAGGTCAATAAATATAGGATTATAAAATAAATATTTGTATGTGCTTCTATAGAAGATAATGACTCGATTTATCAACTTTAATTAACTAAAATAATAAGTAATATCAATACGCTACTGTTGAATAGAAGAAGTGATAATATTTTATAGCAGAAAAGTTTGATATATTAAGATGTGCAAAATAAGGTAACTAAAGAAAGCATAGAATAGAATGAATGAAAATAGTGTAGAATAATGCAGCTTTGAATATCCCATGATTTTCCTGTGAAAATGGGTAAATAAAGAAGTAGAAGACGTTTTAATTATTTATATTTTGCTACAAGTATAACTCTATCTATTTTTACTTTCTGTATTTTAATTTTTCTTATTCTTTTTCTTCCTTGAGCTTATTGAATTCCAAAGTAGGTTACCTATATTTAATGATGTGATATCAAGTAACAAACTTTTTTTTATTGTAAAAAAAGCATGTTCTTGGGTAATGGACTGCTCATCAGTTTCAAGGTTTCTTGCATAAAAAGCAGAATTTTCATAAATTATTAATTAAGTGAACAGTTAATGGTTTAAGTTTTTATAACTAGAAATTTAATCTCGATGGAAAAAAAAATTTATTATATCAGGCGAATTTTTTTATTGGGAGAGAAATTCAATTTATAATTTTCTATCAACTTGATTTAGTGTAAATTGAATTTTCTTTTTTCTTATTTAAATTTTTTTTTCAAGAATAACTAGAAAAGCATATCTTTTGATCTACAAAAGTCCATGTTGAACTAAATTAATGAAAATCTACAGTATTATTGTGACTTATACTTTAAGGTAAAATTTCTTTTATCCACAATTTTATTATAAAAATTTCATTTTTCTTTAAACATAAAATTTTTTGTTATAAAAATAGAAAAAAAATAGTTGAAAATATTTTTGTTTAATGATTAAGCTGTATTTATTGAACTGTATAAAAATTAATGGATATTTCCGCCCATTAAATAAATCAACAGGATCGATTTTTGTCATTACCTCAGACTTCCGCGAATTTTTTTATCAACAATCTGAACTGTACTAGTTTGATCAGACATGACAAGAAATATTTAAAAATTTGAAACTCAATTATCTAATTTATTTTCAAGCTAGATGTAATGAAAATTTGTTTTAAAATATTAACCCACTGATCTACACTTCCAAAATCTTTCAAAGAGATCCACGATCTTTCTACATCACAATCAAAGCGGTGACTGAGTTTAAAAATTGAACCAAACCTAGGTGAAATCGTCCGAGAGTATACTAATCATGGGTCGTTATCGCACTTGGACTTTGCACGTGTGGTCTTATATTATAGCAAGATGAGAATACATAGGAGACCTTGTCGACCTCAACGTTGTTGATTTTACTCCATTATGATCTCAACGTGGTTATTTAATGATAGAATTTTTCCTTTCCAATATAAAACTTGAAACCCAAAACATTATAACAATTATATATTAACAATAAGGTCACATTCAAAGTTATCTTGTGTTCACTCACTAGGTTCAATTTAATATCTAATTATCATAAAATGAACTTTGATCATATAAATTGTAATTCAGTATTTTGCATAGATAATCTATATACTTATCTCTATAAACTTTGAAACTATAACGTTGACGTTTCACAGGTTAATGAGTGTTATCAATTAAAATTATATTATAATGAAAAAGATAATTGCATATAAAAAAATTTTATTCAAGCAATTTTCCTTAGAATTGATGTTTAAATGTGGAAAGAAAAACTTAATAACTGTGATAAAGAATGATGTAATATAATTATTAATTAATTTTAGTAATGTTGATAATTATCAATGATTTATAATCAAGGTATACTTGAAATGTCATTAAAATATCAATAATCAGTAATAAATAAATAAAATTTTACGACTATGTGACAATGTATGATAATATCTCTAAGTAATCAATCTCCAGTAGCAAGCAGCATAACATTCAATAGTGCTATACAAACAGCTCATGCAACAAACAACATCATAGCCAAGCATGCTAAATAAATATCGGTCAATAACTCTAATAGAATTCATTCGTGAAAATCAATGTATCATTAATTGATCATACAGTACAATAAATACTTATATGACGAATTAATGTCACTGCGACTCACAGTTTCTCGTCTACAATCATGATGATAATTTTATGCAATCTTCTGGTGGAACTTGAATACGATTAGTCGATGTAATCACACCAAGTTTTTTCCAGCTTATGGTCTGCAAAAAAACAAAATCCATTCTCTAGGTTTGTGTCAGATAAAACAAGACCAACCAATTAAAGGAAATTAAATGCTACATCGTTTAAAGAGTTACATTGATTTATTTTTTGATATTCTAAATAATTTGTTGACTTGCAACTTTCTTCAATGCCTTGCTATCTATGCTATATGCAGCATATATTCGTATTTTTATCAAAGATTTGTAAGATAAATTTTATCTAGGAATGATTGAAATTTATTAGCATATTTTTTATGTAAATTCATCGATAAATGAGGTCAGCAAAATTTTATCAGATAATTAAAGATGATATAAAATGTGTTGGAATGAAAAAAATTTAGTAGTTGTTTCTTCAATAAAAAAAACTAACCACAATATTTTTTTCAATCTAAATACATTTTATAAAGTAAAGTAAAAACTGAATTAAACTATAATATAAATGCAACGAATTCCATGTCAATTACAATACAAAAGTTTTCATGAGTTGTATGCATTTGATCTATTTGCCATCTTGAATGGTCAAGATGATTCTGCGTCTCTCGCACTTTGCAACAGTCCAAGAATCATTATTCGTATAAGTGTATTAATCGCATATCAGTGACAAAAGTCACATATACACTTACAACTTAAACAGTCATGCCTGTCACCCATCAAAGTTCGTACAAAGAGTTATCGTCAACAACAGAAAGAATGAAACCAAACAAATTAAACGAATGTTTGTCTCAACGAATCGTCTCTTGAACAAAGGGCATAGTTTAATAATCATCAGCAATATTAGACACCGGTAAAATTCATTGATACTGATGATCCTTTCATATAAACATAGAAATAGTTGACGTAGAATCTGATGTTCTATAATTTTGAGGCGCCAATGAACTATAAGCAGGTAATGTAATTGTTTATTAAACACTCATGTTCAAAGTCCTCTTGATATTCTCACGTTCACTAGAACCTTGAAACTCTTACATCAGAAAATATTCATTGAGAAAAAAATTAATGTAACATTTCTAGCAGGAAATAAATCGAATAAAAAATTTTTTATCTGAAGTATAAATTATGAGTACAAAGTCCAACAGACTTGTTAATGCATTTTCATCTGGCTAAAACGATAAATGTTTGTGACCGCTGATTATCCAATAGGAAAAGGAGAATTTAATCAAATGTTGAATGAGATGGTGTAGAAAATGAACACTATGATCACGTTGCTTTGACGCTTGCGCAGATATGAGGCATGCGTTTTTTTTATGAATGCCAAATTTTGCGTCTGCGAACCTTGGAACTTGTAGAATTAAAGCCATTATATAGTGTCAAGGTAAAGAAAAGCTGTCGAAAAGAAGATAAGATAATTTAAGGAAGTTCTTATTTCTGCCTATTCTAGAAATGCTTTATCAATAATAAGATTGAGATTTACTTAAAAAAAAACTGAAATATTGTATGAAGCTAATAATATGACTAATTCCCAAGTGAATAAAGGCATCAACATGCACAGAGGATGTGAACGTTGTCTACATGAGGGATGACAGGAGAATAATGCTGAACAGTAAAACGTATTACTCAATGATGTACCACATTACATGAGAACTACTTGCCAACCAACATCATCACTTCCCCAGTTATTCGTTCATTATCCTACTCACCCTCCCACATGATACTAACACTTTGACACATCAACGAATATGTGCATTCACATAACACAAAAAAAATGCTTGCATTCTTGCCAATTGTTTCCTATAAATGTCTTAAACAGACTAACACAACGTAAATAGAAATCAGAGAAGAACATACGACGTTAATGTTATATAAAATTGATAGTGAGTTATATAAATACATTGATGAAGGATAGAGCCAACACGTTAGACCATTTCGAACATGAGCTTGACACAGTTTACAAATTTATCAATGAATTCCAAACATATGAATAAATTACAATCCTTCAATATAAGTTAGTCTCAAACATTCTGTGGATATTGGTTGCTACAGGTCAGCTGTAAGGTGACTAATATAATTTAAATTCAATAATCAACCATTAACACGTGTGACCCAAAGTCACTAAGTAATTTGTAAATTAGCGATCAATGATTTAGTTCAATCTTTGTAAACAATTTGTCGCTAATTTTTTCATTTATTTATTAATACAAATTAAGTCAATTAATTATATAGACCTTGACTGAAAGTTACAATAGACCAAACATCATTCTTAAACTCATTTACATACTTTTGTATGAGTCACAAGTGTTAATTCATACTTTCAACGCTTCGTAAAGTGCGAAAAAAATTTTTTTATTTGATGAAATTTAAATGCACTTTTTTTTCTTTTAAGTTTTCTGCATGTTGTATGTATTAATAATTCAAACTTGGCAAACGCAAATTGTCATGGATAAAGCTACCTTATCTCTACTTTAAAACTCGTCACTAAATTGAAAATGTACAACATAATTAAATGAAAATTAACAGATGATAAAAATAAAATTACATATTTAAAATGTTAAATGTACTTGAAGAAAATATTACTCTTTTTTTCACTATTACACTCACTGAAAAATTAAATAAGTATATGTAATAAGTGCTGTCATTTTTTATAATTACTTTTTACAAGGATTTTTTTTATTTGAAACTAAATTGCCAGTATCTATGGCTTTGAGAGAGCATAAATACGATAGTAAACAAACATTTTTTTCTGTAGTAAAAATTTATCATAAAATCCTTGAATGTGTATAAGTTAAAAATAGAAGCATGTAATTTTTCTATCAGAAAAAAAAATGATGAAATGTTGAGAAAAAGTACATTTCCAAGGTTCCAATAACCAAAATACTTAAAAAATGAAATAAACCACAAACAAAGTTATTAAATAGATTAGTGAACAAAATGATCACGATAACCCTAAAGTCCAGTGATGTATCAATTACCATATCACCCTATATTATGTAAGAATAATTTACAGAACAACGTGCAGATCTCTCCAAGGGTACTGATGTGATATAAAATACACCTTTACTTGTTGAAGCATATGATTATAGTTTTAAGAATCACACACGATTGATATCAAGTGATAAAAAGAAAGCACATGATTATCTTACTTTGTAAGTAGGTCTTCTTAACTGGCGCTTTCTTTCACAATAACTTCTACTGATACTTCGCTAACTCTTTAAGACTTGGAAGCCAGACGAAACCTACAAATAAAAAAAGATAAATTATCATATATTTAGAGAAGGATAAAAGGTCAATGAACTCATTTATTGGCATGGTTTATAAAACTACGTAAAGCTAAACATGAGTCTTGAGTTTTGGTGTAATTGTAAAATTATATCAATGATAATAAGTTTCTTTTTTCGAACTCAAGTACTCCCATTACCTTCTTTTAACTCACCCAAGAGTAAGAGTATGATCAGGTTAGGTGAGTTCGTCTGTACTTGATCACTAGATCACGGTGCTTGCCAAGTTGAACCACGTGACAATTTGGTCGAAACAGACTTCTTCTAAAATGCTTTGTAGCCAAATCAGGCATTAGTTGATTGACTGGCAATAAATAAATTATTCACAATCGTTGTTGACACTTTTTATAACTATTTCTATCTGCAAGTGCTGCACTACAAGTAATAGCCCAACTGTTTACTCAATAACACTCGAAATTATGACACAAAATACACTGGAATGCATTTAAAAATGTAATATTTATTCAATTAAACGTGATGTTTAGATAAAAAATGGTTTCAGTCTGTTTTATAACAATAAAATACACACTTTAAAATTCCTATCACGATGTCACTCGACGTCATTGCTCTCTTATGTTATCAATCATCATAAATCTTCGTAAGTTCATTCAGAATAACCCGAAAAATAAATGATAATTTGTAATACCCAAATGTTAAATGTTAAATGCTAATATGAAGTTATTCGATGAAGAATTGCGTTGTAAAATGTGCGTTTCAGGGACACGTCTGTAGATGAACGGACGAGCGCAAATCAGGGTTAGTTGTAGGTTCTTGTACACGCTGTAGGCTCCAACACGCATCTGTCATTAGCCGACAGAAACTATACGTACAGATGACTACTGCGCGCTCGACTGTTTTGTTAAAGAGAGGGAGTTATCACTTAATTTTTTAATAATACAGATAAAGTATTATAATGTAAATCATCGTTTATGCTAAATCAACTGCTCACAAATTTATGTAATCCACCGAAAGCTAAGAAATTATAAATAAGTTGTAAGGATTATGTAATAAATATTTTTATTTATTATTTTATTTAAAAATTTTATGAGAATTAATTATTGTAGTAAAGTAGAACAATCAGGTTATTTGGTAAACATTAAATGTTTTTTTATATTATAAACTATCGTGGTGGTTCATCTACACCTGGACCAATCACAAGACAATTTGCCAAAGTAGGGATGTGGCGTGATCCACCATCCACGTGACGTCACGTGGGTGAGTGATCGATACTATGAATTGATGTCAATGAAAACTCATGGAGATGCAGTTACACTTGTCGAATTCATTATCTATCTTGACCATTAAGAGATATTCTTAAAAATTCTCTTAATAACCACAACTATTCTTATGAAATTCTCGAATATTGATCTTAGGACTTTAACCCAATTTTATTTATTTATGTATTTACCATGAATATAGAAATAATTGTTACTTTTATCTATGATTTGACTATACTTTGTTATGTATTATTACATGTTGTTAAAATAGAAAATTACTACGTTTTTCAACGTGTTTTTGATTGATGGTAAAGAAGTTCTGTACGGAATAGGACTGAGAACGCCATCTCTTTGATTGCATTAGCATTTTTTACGACTTCAAATTTTGGTCAAGAAAGCACATGTTCATGGCTTTAGAGTTGATATTTTTTTTTTATTAGTTGATACAATTGTTAGTTAACTAATTAGTAAACAATTTCAATAAGTTCAATCAACCATGACTGATTTTATTTTGAGTTAAAGTGGAAGTGATGAAAAGTTAACTGATTTAAAATGGATAATGTTGAACATTTATGGAATATCATACAAACTTTGAAGACAAATGATAACCTTCAAGTAAATGAACTCCGAAATTATTATGTGTAAGTAATTAAAATTAATTTGCTTATTTATTATAATAATATATATGTATTAATTATTCTAAATTATTATTCATTCAATTGTAATGATGGTTAAAATGTTTTTTTTATTTATAGGCGATGTTGCAAAGAATTGTCAGATGAAGTGGATCTTCCTAAACAAATCTTTGGACTAAGTACCATGTGCAATTATTGTGGTTCATTATGGAGTACGGTTGATAGCAAAGTGAGAATCAGTAAAGGTAGAGGACTTTCAAACTCCATTCAAAAACTTGTTCGACTGTCAAGCAAAAAATCTTCGAATTTAACAAAATATCAACAAAAACTAATGCAAAATTGTCTTAAGAAACAATCAAATAAATTAATTATTACGTGTGGGTATTGCAATAAAACGAATGAAGTAACTCTGAATAAACCAAAGAGGCTAAAAAATAAGAAAATCGAAGAACCTAGAATTACTCCAAGAAAGAAGAAAAAACGAAAAAAGGATAAAAATGCTGGCCTTATAATAACAAATACTCCAAACAATTTGAATGATTCTCAGAATAATGAGAATAAAAACGGTTGTAATAGCGATAATAAACATAAACTATTGAAAATGAAGAATGGAAAGCGAAAAAAAGTAGATACAAGTACTCCAAACAATAAATCGAAGAAAATAAACATTTCCAAGCTAAAAGGAATTATCAATACCACAATTACTCCATCAAAAAAAGTAAACCTTCACTCTTTTTTGGAACAACTTGGATGATTACTGTGTTCAACCTATTTCTAACATTAGTCTTAAGTATTATAATAAAATAAATGTTATTTTTTATAAAGCTATATTTTGTTATAATAATTATTAAAATAACTGAATGCATAAAGAAATTTTCTATTTATTGTTTAAAAACATTTGAAAACGAAAAATTTACTTTCACGTTGGTAGATGGCGTTCGTGGTTCAGTTCAGCGCAGAATTTCGAAATAAATAGCTTAAGCTCTACCAGTCAATACGTTTCTTCTACGTTTCATTTATTTTACTATTTTTAAAAATATTTTTCATATAATTCGTCTATTTTTATATTATAAAATATTATCAAAAGAATGATGCAATTCATTTTATTCCTTTGATAGCTTATAATACAGTCAATTACATTTATGCAATGCTTCTAAAAAAAACTGACACTGACATAGGATTACTTTTAATATTTCATCATCTTTAATAAGTTTTGTATATATTTTTAATGACTTGTTATAAAAAACTATGAATTGTGTGGTATGCAAAAAAATGAATAAATTTATTAAAGTGATTGAATATAAAAAAAAGTCCAAAAATAAAAGACACTTGACTCATAAAATTATCCTACACTATAAAACTATAACAAACAGCGTAAAAATGAGATTTAACTATAAAAAAAAACCACCGATCATAAAATATTTACGTGTACGGTATTAAATAAAACGTTTATTGTAATTGTTTAACGATACTATTTTTACCATATTGTGTTATGAAATTTTTCAATAACCTGTTAATAATATTTCCACTTTAGACAGACGAATATGAAAAAACAAAAGGATGTTATTATTCACGATCAATAAAAATCATCCTGTAGTGTTTTCTTTGATGAAAAAAATATTTAAATAAATTAGAAGTAATCTATTTTCATAATGCAGGCAAGATAAGTTTTATTTATCTAAGCGCAGTGGGCGATAGTTCCCATGAACCTATAGCATAGCGAAGTTAAAGGTGAAGACGAGTTAGTGTTGTGGACGTTTATATTCTTATATTAAACTCCATTTATGATCTTCTGCCTGTGGGCAGTGATTTTAAACTAACATCATTTTCTTTATATATATTGTCAACAAGTCGAATAGTCAGTAGAGAATTCAGTCTCGTCTTTTCCATCTCCTCGTATTTGTCGCTTAGTGATCTCATTTGCTCATTATTACGCGGGGGTGAACAGAACAGGATCGAGACAGCCTGACGTCATTGCGACAAGATATTGCTTAACTCTACTGAAAGCCAGTCACATTCCACCCACGACGATTGGCGCTAAATTTAAATAAAGATACTACAGTAAAAAAGAGTAGACGTATCTTAGAAATGGCAGAGAGAAGGCTTTTTCTCGTGCTGTGTCTACACAAAAAAGGTACGATAAAATATTTCTCTTTTCTGACAATAAACGTGGAGAGTAGAATAGAGTATTATTTGAAAAAAATGCATAATTTGTGATTTAAGAGGAAGATGATTATTAATAATGCATACGAATAAAAGAAAGAAATGAATATAAAAAAAGTCAATCAAATGTGATGATGACTGTTGAAATGAAAGCTGGGAGATAAATGTAATGGGACATTCTGGTTTGAATTTCTCGACTGACTACGAGGACGAGACATCACGATGACGAAGGGCATCGTCGAGGACGCTGAGGGTCGGTACCCGGTTGGATGAGTACCTGCGTCCAAGGCAATAGTGATATGGCAAGTCCGATGGAAGTATTGGAGGTTAGGTACTAACGACAGAGGGCCGCCGGTAAGAGAGAACGGTGAGACCGGTGGAGCGGCTATAGAGACGCGGAGGTAGACAAGAAGAGACGACCGCTTGAAATCCCTCTCCTTCCCGCCTTTCCTGCTTGCTTGCCGCCCGTCCGCCATGCCACTACGAACCAAGCGAACGTACAGCTAGGCCGGCACCGTCCTGTAGCCCATTTGGCATTTCCCCAGCTATAGCGGCGGTCCTGTAGCCCATCGTTGTTATCGTCCCGCAGCTGCATAAAGTCGGTTCTCCCTACCTCCCCTCAGTTCCCTCACCCCGCACTTCCTCCACTCGACCCCTCGTCCCGGCACTGCCAACTGTTCCCCACTCTGACCCTCGCGCGCGTTTTCTCGGTATTCCCCTCATCACCCCGCGTCTTCCTGCTCCACCATTCCCATCACTTTACCCTCCAATCCCCCGCAAGTGCCAGGCCAGTCATCGTTACCTGGCAAGCAAATGCCCCCTCCTTCCTTCCCCCTCGTCGCAACTGCCGTCGTTGCTTATAATACCGTCTCTCTCTTTCTCACAGATTTCCCCACCAATCATGCGACATGGCTTGCAGCATGGAGAGACGTTAGTGCCGTCCTTGTTGTCCTATCGATTCCCCGTTCCCCACCATCCATTCCCGCGCCCCTCTTCAATGATGATCGCCCTCACTCGCACCCATCTCACTCTCTCTTTCGACATCCCGATTGCACCTCGTCCCCTCATTGTAACCTTGGTGGAGAATAACCCGCCGTTCAATTCAAGGAATTATGACGACGTTCTCTCTCCTACTCCCTTCTTGTCTTCTATACCGATCTTCCTCTTTTCCCGTTTTTCCTTCCAACAAGACTCCAAGACTGTCATGCTGCCAGGGACATTCGAAAGGATCTTGCTTGCTTCAAACTGCTTTGTACATTCTCTTTTCATCTTCACTTGCTTCCATATTCTCTGATTCATATTGCTAAGCAGAGAATATATCGTTAAACAGAGTGAATAGACAACTAGTAACGAAGCTATATGTGCGTATACAGGGGTTGAATTTTGTTTCCAGTGATGAACTCGTCTCTTCTCGATGCTGAGTATGTAGAACAGGTGGATGCAACGTCATATCATACAATCATAGTATGCGCAAGTGCTATACCATTTGGAGGTTAGAGCAATGCTACGGTCCCCTACTGGAGAACATTCACAATAGATCTCATCTGGCTGAGGATCTATTCTGTTCAATGTTCATTAAATTTATCTATGTTCATGACAACTTGGTATATTACCAACTGAAATAATGTTTTTTATTTTCTCTTTTTTGTCTTGTACGCTTCGTTGATTTAATTCGATTTTTTTTCACATTTTCACAATATTCTGTAATATATTCTTTCCAATACTTGTTGAATATCCATCAATCAAATAATAGGATTTTTGAAATAAATCTAATCTAGAGAATCTCTCAGATCTATTATTAGTTATTGGTATATACTTGTTCTTCTAAACATATTCATCACCTTCACCCTAGTGAATGTAAAGTGTAAATAATTATGGCTAGGTTTCCAAATTTTCTTCAATCATCTCACAAATCATCATGACAAATGATTGTGTCAAAATATCTAGTGTATATATCATTAGAAATAATAGGTAAATCATCGTGAATTATATCTGGAAAGAATTATTCAACCTTTCTTCATCTAAAGATAAACATAGCAAATAATGATTTAGTAGTGAAGTAAAGAAACATTGAAGGAATATAAAGGTTTGAAAATTATAAACAATAAATTCAAGTGACATTGACTGTACCATGTTATTGAAAAATAAGTTCTATCATCATGGACACGAAGGGCACATCAACAAGGTCAAGATGTGCAGTAAATAGATTCACTGCAAATCTACATGCATGGAGAACTTGATAAAACCTATATGTTATAACCAGAGAGGCAGACCTATTGCGCAGTAGCTATCACGTTCTTACGTAAGGTGACTACAATGATTACGTCACAATTCAACACTGCGATGTGAAGAGAATTTTTGAACTGACTAAAAAACATGAAGACCGATCTTGTGTCTCTACTATTTACTCACCAACTTCCTTGTCTACTTCATTCATATTTATTATACGATATTCGTGTTTATTTAGTTTAACAGCCGAACACTGGAAAATTCCAAGAAATCGTAAATTCTTCACAGATCAAGTATAAAATACGCTGGAACACATAGAAGTTATCTGCTCTATTCACAAGAAATTTATTTGGTGTTGTTTAGGAACGCGTGATAAAATGATGAAAATATTAGGTATTATTGTAACATTGGTAAATGTCGGTAAAACAGCATGTGGAAGTTGGGTGAGACGTGAATTGATATCATGAATGTCAAGCTGTGGGCAAGAAGGGTGGAAAGGACTTCCAAGGGTATAGCACAGTCGAGAGAATTTAAGTCTGGCGAACCTCTGAAATGGCGAAAGGGAATTTTTTGTCGACTTTATTCTCTACTGGCGCCGGGAGGGCGCTTTTTTATGGCGTTTCGTCGTGCAAAAAAAGCTTTCGAATTTGCAGTGACATTTTTTTCAATAAGAGAATACCAAAAAAGTAGGTTACAGATAGAGTACGCTTTAGAAATGCAGATTCGAATGAAGGATGTTTTTAGAAGAGAAAGAAGTTCTGGAAATATTTGATGTAAATTATAACGATGAATCTCTGGGATTATAATTGATGTAAAATATGTACATTTAAATGATTAATATAGGAAAGAAATGATCAATTAAAATTGATCATTTTATAATGAAATCACGAGAGAATTCGAGACGCAAATTGCCGCAAGTGATAATTAATTTTTTTGAGTGTGAATCTCCTGAGAAATATCATGATATTTTCACGGCGAGTAATATCAACGTAGAAGAGCAAAGAGAGTAAGTGAGACTGAGGGCGAAAGAGTGAGAGAGAAAAGTCGAGTAGAAATTCTTCCCTTAGCGATGAGAGCAGAAGCGAAATGGAGTTTAATCGTAGCCATGAGATGAAGCGAGACAGAGTACGATGCGGGTTGAATAGGTTGGTGGGGAGCATGGATCGAACAGAGGGTGGCTGCTAGTGCTATAGAGTTTAGCTATATAGAGAACGAACTGTGGTGAAGAGGGGTGCAGAGAGGTTGAAATTCTACCGAGGGGTATGTTTCCTCTCTCAGTCAATCTCTCTTTTTATCACGCTCTTTCTGAATCTATTTCTCTTCTTTTTTTGTACTTCATACTTCGTACTTTCCACTTAAAACATTATTTTCGTCTTTACCTACTTGCAGACTTGGTACAGCTTTTCAATGAAACAAATGCTTTTTCAAATATTAAG